CGACTCCGAATCCCGACAATGACTCGGCAAATGTTGTACAGGTAAGCAGCGTCCAAGCTGCTTAAGAGGTCCAACACCAAAAACAACGACAACTTATGTCTGCTGACATGCAAAATAGGGTGAGTGAGTGACAGGACAAAGCGATTCGGGTGTTGTACCAAGTGGGGTTATCATTTCCTTCTTCCTCTTTGCACCCTTCATCCCTTTCACGTTGCTTCCGGGCGGACAAACAAGCAAGCGACTGTTTTTGCCACCTCTTTTGTTCTTATGCCTTGTCCACCCTCTAAACAGTCTTGTCAAATGCCATGACAATTGCTATAATTGTCCGCTGTCAAATGGCATAAACCTTTTTCGCTGCAGTTGTTCTTTGCCTTTGCTTGCACGCTTAATTTTCTGGGACTAGGTGTGAACATTTCTGTACTGGAAAATGGCAAAAAAATCAGTATAGATTATACGAAGGGAAAAGTGACACAGAAATATAGAAATGACTGTGGCAGATAAAAAATTAAAAGAAACTCAGGTTAAAAATATGTAATGCTGACCAAAAAAAAGGTGTAACGTTGATTTCCATCTACACTAAACTAAATTAGACACCCCAGTCAGTGCCGTTCATTTATAAACAGCTAGCATATCTCGTAAACAAATCTTCTCCCATCTCGTTTCGAATTCCTTTACGTGGCCATCTTGTTTGCACTTCGTGCTTTTGCATTCAAATTGCGTTTATTCAAATATAACGAAAGTCGCCGTACATATTTATACCCGGTACTCGAAGAGTAAACATGGTATTGTAATTGTGGGGAATTACGGATGTTTGTAACGCTCAGAAGGAAACGTTTCTGACCCCATAGAGTATATATATAAATTCTTGATCAGCATCAATAGCCGAGTCGATTGAGCCATGTCTGTCTGTCCGTCTGCCTGTCCGTCTTGTTTGTCGGCTAGTTCTCAGAGACTATAAGAGCTAGAGGCACCAAAGAAAATTAAAAACGCCATTCCGTAGGGAATGACTACATTTATCAGATCACCGAATTCCGGGAAGATCCGATTGGATCAATATTATAGCCAGAATGAAGAAACTAATTTGCAGTGACTGCGCCCATTCCGTCCCGCAGCATTTTGTTTTGTTTTTTTGCACATTCTCTTATCTACACTCTGCTTCGCGCAGTGTGCGGCTTTAGGGGAGGGGTGCGAGCTAAAAGAGCGGGTTGGCATGAAAATTTATGTAGATGTAGAAGACAGATGAAGAAAAAATGTAAAATTTGAAGAAAAAATTTCAGTACAGTGATTCAAAAAATGTAGCTGCCCATACTCATTGCAACCAATGCATTGCAGTGGTTTCTCTTATGACGACTCTTGAATGTCACACGTGAGAAAGAACGCCACGACTGATCATTTAACAAAGACCTCTGTGCTTAAATTGACAATGATTGTTCGGAGTTAAAAAAGCGTGTTGGCGTGAGAAGTCTAAAATTTGAAAAAACTACTACTGTGAGTCTCACTCGTTAATGTTAGAAGACGCACATCTTTAATAATAACTAGTTTTTTATTCATAAAATTAAGAAAGATGTAAAATTAATAGGTTCCATCAATGGTTTCTAAACGAATTTTTAGGTTATGTTTACATTTTCTCAGGCCTGTTTATATAAACAATTTGGTTTCAGGACATTGGACTAATTTGTTATATATTGTTTTCATTGGGTATTGGTAAAATAATTGTGCAACAAAATATTTATATCCCCCTGCTCTTTAATATTATGGAACCACACAACACAAATGGACATACATATATATTTACCTATGTTTACGGGTTTGATGGGTTTGAAAGTTTACTTATACGTATAGACAATGTCGTTTAAAGAAAACTAGAATAGCAAAAAAGCCTTTTCGGATAATAAAATAATTTAGTTACGAGAAATTAAAACATGCCCCTTCCATGTGATTGGTATTTTCTTAGGCTGCACAACTGCAATACGTCGCGATGCGTCGGCATTATGTCCTTTCTTTGTGGTTATTTCTCGTACCCACGCTTTGAAAGGGAATCTCCCTTTTGTTATGTCACTTGAGAGAAAAGGTTAACGTGAGCATAGCCACAGGTGAATATGTGACAATTTTTATCAAATACATGTGTTTTAAAATTTTTACGGTCTTTGTATAATTTGGTGTATATTGCGTCTGTCTTTTGTGGTTGGTCAAAACGAAAATGATAAGTCATGAGGCAGAGACTATACCAGATAATTGCACTGCCGTCTGAACTTATGTAAGTTATAGCTTAAATAAAAATAAAGTTAATTTTAAATATACCAAAAAAGTACCACAGAAACAAAGAAAGAAAGAAAGAAGTAAGAGCAAGAAGTTCTGGAATCTTAATAAAGGTTAGTTTGTCTGCTTCATTTTTTATACCCTGAAAGAAAGCTTTATGAGCTTAGACAAAGTCCAGTATGTTCGTATCTGGCCTTCAATTCTCAAAAATACTTTAAAGCCAAAAATAACTTAATTTTTTTTTTCTGTGGCTGTTATAAGAACAAAAGTACCTGTTACTTAAGATTCTTCTTTCGTTAGACAAACTAGCCAAGTTTCTTTTCTTGTTGTTAAGTAACTCTATCAAATATTTATATTTACATACATATGTATGTAAGCACCCAGCAAGCAATGATTTAGTAGTAGAGGCGTTTTTTCGGAAAATTGACATGGGCAAATTCCCATTTGAAAAATTTAAAAATTAAAAGGGCTGCGTTCTGCTAGGTTCCGCGCGTAACAGGCTTTGGCTTGGTGTCGCATGGGCCACTTGATGGTGCAGTCATTGCATATCAACGTCCAGAATAGAAAATTGCATTTTCTTGTTGGATGGGGTAGGTCAATGTCGAGTCAGGTCAGACGAGGCTATGCTCAAAAATAAATGAGTGACTAAGACAAAATGCGAAAAAGGGTATATCTCAAAACTCTTAACCTGAGCTAAACAAAATATATTTGAGTAATAGGTAGGTGCAGTCTTTGTATAATAGCCGAGTCGATAAAGCCAGGCCTCTTCTAGCTTTTCACACTCCCACAGTGACGCACACTGCATGAGACAGAGTTTGCGAAAGATAAAGATTGAGTAACAAAAAAGAATAACAAGCAAAGCTGCGGGACTTGGTGGGCGCAGCCACGGCAAATATATTTCTTCATTCTGGCTATAATAATGATCAAATCGGATCCCAATTCGGTGTTTTAAGTTTTCTTTTATCTTCAAAATTGTGGCTGAGGGAGATTTTCGGCCTTTGCGGGTGTCGGAAGGGGGCGGGGCTCATTTTTAAACTACACTTGTAACAGTGTGCGCATACAGAAGTCTGGATGCACAATTTGGTGCCCCTAGCTCTTATAGTCTCTGAGAACTAGCCGACAAACAAGACGGACTGGCGGACGGATAGACAGACATGGCTCAATCGACTCGGCTATTGATGCTGATCAAGAAACGTTTCCTTCTGAGCGTTACAAACATCCTTTATTCCCCACAAATACAATATACCCTATTTACTCCTCGAGTACCGGGTATAAAAAGTAAGTACTAGGTATAAAAGCTGTGACGCGTACAAGCGTTACACACATTCCTACTCGTTTAATGTAAATATATTGAAATAAACATGAGAACAATATATGGACAATATATTATATATATATGTATATATATACTATGTGAGGATGACTTAAATACCGAGAAAATACTAGTTCTTTAATCAGAATTTGGGATGGAGTGCAATGAAACGGGTAGGTTCATGCCGAAACGTAGCACAGTGGAACCTAGTGTGAAAGAATTTCATGAATCCCAGTGTGCGTCGGCACACTTTTGCTCTAATGGACTTTGATACGGTGGTAAAAGAGAAAACCTGCACCATTAGGCTAAGGGTATGCAAATCCGGCTTTGACCTAAACTACCATTTTTTATATCCTCCTTTTCATTTCATCTCATAAAACCACCCAAAAAACTTACAACCAACACTTTTTCCTATTAGTAGTCAAATTTCGAGCAGCGATAAGAAACTCATAAAAATTGCGTGTCCTTGCTGTCACTTGCATGTTGAGAGCACGTAACGTAGCCGGGTGCTATTCTAATTCAACTCTTAGAGCAACTTTCGTTTGGCGTGTAACGAAGCTCAAACAAGAAGGGACGTGTGAGACGCTTCTTACTCGTCACAACTTTTATACCCGGCACTCAGTACTACATCAACATCTTAGTGGTGTTTTGTCAAATTTTAAATTTTTTCTTCATCTGTCATCTGTCATCTACATCTACAACACTTCTCACACCAACACGCTCCTTTAGCCCGCCGCCCTTCTCTAGACCCACACACTGCAGACTCGCGGCAGAGGCAGAGGCAGCGCCCGCACACGAAAAAAACAAATATAAGCTGCGGGACGGGGTGGGTTAAAAGTCAGCAGAGGCAGAGGGACGGCAGAGGTAGAGGCCGAGTGAAGCAGAAGCAGAGTGGGAATGAGAGAATGTAAAAAGAACAACAAAAGCTGCGTAGCATATAGCAGTCTGGATGCAAAATTTGGAGGCTCTAGCTCTTATAGTCTCTGAGAACTAGCCGACAAACAGCCGGACAGACGGAAGGACAGACATGGCTCAATCGACTCGGCTATTGATGCTGATCAAAAGTATATATACTCTATGGGGTCGGAAACGTCTCCTTCTGTGCGTTACATACAACCGTTATTCCCCACAAATACAATATACCCTATTTACTCTTCGAGTACCGGGTATAAAAATTATAAAATAACACATAATGAACTAATTACACTTTAAAGCTAAGTACACAAATGAAAAATAGAAAGAAATACATATATATACATCAGCAGAATATGATGCAGTCACAAAACACAATACACATACACTTTAAAAATATATTATGTAAGCATATTCGCATTGTTAAAACACAAAACACGCCATTTATTCCTTATTTACATATAGGAATAATTCCATTTATATATACATAGATTACGTTATTCTTATAAAAAGGGAGGTGTAGTGTATTTATGCAGAGTGCTAATATGGCACCACCCTAACGGCAAATTGCTACATAAGCATACATATAAGCAATTACATCGCCAAGGTAACACCTGCAAATTGCAATAAAAAGCAATGCAGCCGCGGCGTCCGCTACCGCCTCCGCAAAATGTGATCCATCTAGCATTGGGAACAATTGCCACCGTCCGAATTATAACGTATATAATTATAACATTTGGCAACTCGCCCTCTTTATTTTGATATAAATATTAGTTCGATTTTAAAATAAAAACGAGAAAAACGTCACAACTTTTATAATAATTAAAATAAATATAATTATAATATAAAATACAACTTCTTGAGATTAAATAGTCTGGATTTTGGGTTATTTAGACTGGATAACTCTTTTGTGAACCAAGGAGGCTTCCCAGATCTAGTCGGACAAGAGAGTGGGACACACATATCAACAATTGTGTCAAGTACATTGTAAACGAGAAGGGACGTAGTGGGCGTAGTCCTGTGTTCGAATTGCTCACAGAGCACACAGAGCGCAGACAAGGAGCAGCAGACAACGACCGTCTGGATGAGGGAGGCCGCATCGCCGTGGCGAGGAGAGCAGGCTCCTACACTTATGCGCCCAGCGCATCACAAAGGTGCACCCAAGAGGCACTAAAAGAAGGCCCAGAATTCATCCATACCATGAGAAATCGACGCACAACGTCCCCAGCCAACAGGAGAGCCTCGAAAACCCGGATAGCGGGTGGAGAGTAGGGGTCAAGAAGGCGAGGACAGTGTACCGCGCAAAACATTGGACAAGTCAAAGCATCTCAAAATCAGGCGACTTTGAAAACCCGCAAAAAATGTATGGTACTCCTTAAATCTTATTCTATCTTGATATTCAGGAATCAAAAAATTTAAGTCGCATTCAAATATTTAACCAAAAAAAAATTACATTAATGCCAAAAATTCGAGCTTTTTATCCATACTGCAATGGCTTAACTTTACATCTTAAATTCTGTGTTACTTCGCCACCGTTATTGTGAATTACCACTAAGCAAACAACACATAGAGACTACTAGTCGACTAAAAACTGGCTGCCTAATAATAGGGGATTGGCTCCCAGTGCCTTCGGCTCTTGGGAGAGAGAGAGTTTGGCGTTGGCTCTCTTGAGCATTGAACGCAAAGCGACTCGCAAAAACAAAGTTTTGTTTTTCCTTTTCAAGTCGGCTTCGTAATTTCATGTGTGCGGTGACACATCCATACATGATGGCAATGCGTGTATCTATTCTCGACTTCATATGCGTTTTCACTTTTAGCGCTTGAGACGTTTGGCACTTTTGTGTTGCTTCTGAGCTCACATACTTACCCTTCCTTCAAACTTAAGACTTTCAGCTTGCCCCAAAAATTAAATAAATTGACTTTGTGTATCCTTTCTACGCATATATATTTCTTAAATACAGTTTGGACGAAAGGGATAAACGGTTATAAACATCTAAATATGTATACAAATAATGAATAACCGCAATCCCCTATACTGATTAGGCAGCAAGTTTTTAGTCGATTTGCAGTCGCTATGTGTTGTTTGCTTAGTGAAATTACTTAACGTCGTAAAATTTAGAGAGTAACACAATTGCTATTTTACGTTTTGACAGTAAAATAAAAAGCAAAAATGATTAGCAGGAAAGTGGCTCGTGTAAGTTGGATTTTAATTTCAATTAGGGCCCGCAGGGATCTGTATGAATTTATATTGAGACCTATTAGCTTTAATTTACAAGATTTTAAATCGTTTGGCGACGTTTCTTTAAATAGTTTAAAAATATTATCACGCTTCGTTGACGGCTTGCAATATATGTACATATGTACGAACATATGTAGTTCTATGACGCTTTTGATAAGCAAAAAACCGCAATGAATTGCATCGAAACGACAGCAAGACTAGCAACGTCTGAAAAAGCTGCATCAGAACTCAATTGCTGATAAGACTCTGTGGACACGGTCTGGTCGCTCTGAACTATCCAGGAGAGTTGCAACCATCGACTGCAGCTAAAATGCCGCAGGGAGTTGAGTCTCTTTCTTTGGCCGTGTCCACCAAGCTGTTATTAATGGCTTGTTTTTACTCAATTTATTGCTTTCTATTTATTAATTTATTGACTTTTAACGCAATTAGATAAGAGGAAAGTGCAGTTCGGTGTTCATCATAGTATTTTATTGCTTTTTCGGTTAATTGATATGTACATATTGATATACATATATGCTATACCTTGCTATATGTGCAGTATTCACTAATATTGCACGATAAGACAATTATTTAAATAAGGCCACAAATGGTGTGTATCTTATTACTTACGATAGTATGCTTTCATTAAACGCGGTACTCGAAGAGTAAATAGGGTATATTGTATTTCTGCACAAAGTGAATGTATGTAACGAAGGAAACGTTTCTGACCCCATAAAGTATATATATATTTTTGATCAGCATCAATAGCCGAGTCGATAAAGCCATGTCTGTCTGTGCGTCTGTCCGTCTTGTTGAGCGCCTGGATCTCAGGGAGTATAAAAGCTAGAGCCACCAGTATGCTCACACTGTTGCAAGTGTATTTCAAAAATTATCCCCGCCCCCTTCCACCTCCGCAAAAGGGCGAAAACCTCCCAAAGGTACACTTTTGAAGATAATAGAAAACTAACGAGAAGGGACGTGTGAGACGCTTCTAACGCGTCACAACTTTTATAGGCGGCACTCAGTACTACATCTGTCATCTACATCAACAACACTACTCACGCCAACACGCTCCTTTAGCTCGCCACCCTCCCCTAGAGCCACACACTGCAGAGTCAGGCCAGAGACGCGGGGGAGACTCGCAGAGGCAGAGACGTGTCTGCGCGAAGCAGAGTGTGAATTTGTCAGAGAGAATGTGAAAAAAACAAATATAAGCTGCGGGACGGGGTGGGTTTAGCCACTGGAAATTAATTTCTTCATTGTGGCTATAATAATGATCCAATCGGATCCCAATGTTGGTGATCTGATAGATCTGGTCATTCCCTACGGAATTTAGTTTTTAGCTTTCTTTTATTTTCAAAATTGTAGCTTTGGGAGGTTTTCGCCCTTTTGCGGGAGCGGAAGGGGGCTGGTCTCAATTTTGAAATACACTGGTTTCAGTGTGAGCATACAGCAGTCTGGAGCCAAAATTTGGTGGCTCTAGGTCTTATAGTCTCTGAGAACTAGCCGACAAACAAGACGGACAGACAGACATGGCTCTATCGACTCGGCTATTGATGCTGATCAAGAATATATATACTTTATGGGGTCGGAAACTTTTCCTTCTGTGCGTTACATACAACCGTTATTCCACACAAATACAAAATACCCTATTTACTCTTCGAGTACCGGCTATAAAAACCGCTAAGGTACAGATGTAGTACTGAATACCGGGTATTACAGTTGTGACGCGTAAGAAGCGTCTCACACGTCCCTTCTCGTTTAAAGTAGACTTGTATCAGTGTAATATCACATCAGTCTAGAGGAAAAATATGTTGGCTCTTGCTCTTTTAGTCTCTGAGAACAAGCTGACAAACAAGACGGAAGGACGGACGAAAGAACAGACAGATGCTATTGATGCTAATCAAGAATAATATATGGCAACAACTGTCCGCAAGTAAAAAACACATCAGCACCAACGAAAGCTGCAGAAAAACATTGAACTTAATGTGAAAATTCTCGACTTGATATACAAAACCTCAAGATAACACAACAGGACAGGACAGCGAGGGAAGGCAAAGGGCGCACTCTGATACAGGATATCAAGATGTAGTTCAGAGCGAGGTAGAGAAAGGGAGCAAATGGAAGGATGGGAAATACATTTATAAAAGATAAATATTGCATTGCAGCTAACATCACTGAAAACCCAGAAACAAACAGTATGCGATAAGCGCCTAGACCGATTCATTTAAAATGTTTGCATATTAAGTAGGTCTGCGGATCAGATTTTTACACTATTTTTCATCTCGATATAACACCTCATTAGCTTTTAATCGCGGTTTTAGTGTTTTTCATCTACAGCTCTACCGATTCTATTTTTTATTTCCATGTAACCACTCATTAGCTATTTAATAGCGGTTTTAGTGGTTATTGTCGAGTTTCCTTTACGCGAGAAATACATTTTTAACATAATATAATATTCGTCTTTGAGTACAAGTATTTTGTATTCATTTTTATTTAAATTGTTAAATTGGTTTATTGTTGTGGAAACATTTCCAGCAAGGTGCGGGAATGGATGCTTTAAACGGAATGTGTTGTGACTCAGGAAAGTGCAACTAACTGGAACCCAATGGGTGCACCAGCTTGAAAGGTATCCTTAAGTAGCAGTGGGAGACGGAATCACGATGAACATATGCTGACAATTGCACGAGACACGTGCCAAAGTAGAAGGCGTAGTAGAGTAGTGGAGTAGAAGGCCAAACGTTTGCCAACTTGTGTTTACAGCCATTTATCGGGGAAGTGGCGGTCTTGGTATATCTATTGTATCGTACACTTCGGAGTTATAGTCATATATAGTTAGATGTCATGATAGTACTTTCGTTAAATTATATATTTATCATTAAATAACTATCCATGCATCATAACCGTATTTTTGTTATGCAAAAATCACTTAGACGCAAAGGAGAAATTTTGTCTTTAGATCGCTCTTCAGATGCGAATTGCTTATGCACTAATATACTACCGACTTATTAATAGTTTCATCTGAATCTGTCCTGGTATACCCCACAATCGGTCATAGATATATTACTATTATGTACTACACATACATAGATATATTACCATGAACCTCCTGCACAGGCACAGACGTGTCAACATATACACAAGCCTAGGCTCTTGCAACCCAAGCCCTGCATACTCGTATTTATTGATTGACATCATATGGTTATTTTTTTTGTTGCCAGCCTTGGTAGGTCCAGTGGATAAAACCCAATTCCCGCTAATAACACGCTTCAACGTGCTCACATTGATTTAGCTTTGCGTGCATGTTATTTATTACTGTTTATCCAGCTGTTTTACTAAAAGAAAAATCAGCACAGTCCACTTTATGCATAGGAAACTAATTATGTTAAATCCATTTTCACGAATATTTCGTCTTAATTTACGAATATTAAATAGTTATTATATTGTAAATCAGCGTTTGTGTGTAAGAATTAATTAGGTTATTAACTAATATGTATAACTCAGAAGAGAACCATAAGAGCTTTCTTTGATGGTTAATTCTAAGACTAACTGGGCTAGGCCTACAAAAACCTATATCGAACATTAGGTTTACAAATAGAAAATTAATTGAAATTTAGACTGACATTTCCCTTGACATTAATTAAGACAACAAAACCAGCACCCAACCCTGTTTTAATTAAAATAATTCCCACACACCTGCGAAATCCCTCGACGCAATGCTGTATCTAGCGGCGACAAAACAACGACAAAGTTATATATAAAAGGGAACAAACCGTAGTACTTTACACTTACTTTATCTGTGTGGGGCTAAGAGCTCGACTGGTATTTCACATACAGTCCTCGTACATAAACGAGGAGGGAAGTGTAAATCGCTTCTTATGCGTCACCATTTTTATACCCGGTACTCAGTTGTACATCTTTACCTTAGTGTTTTTTCACGATTTACATATTTTACACACCTACCATCTACATCTACATCTACTCAAGCCAACATGCTCTTTTATCTCGCCCCCTAGAGCCGCACACTGCACGAAGCAGAGTGTGAATTGAGAGAATGCGCAAAAAATAAAAAAAGCTACAAGTTTATTTATTCATTCAGGCTATAATAATAATTCAATCTGATCCCAATCCGATAATCTAAATGAAGTGGTCCTTCCCTACAGAATATTTTTAGTTATCTTTTTTCTTCGAAATTTTGGACACACTGTGTGAGCATACAGCAATATGGATGCAAAATGTTGTGGCTCTAGCTGTTAGTCTCTAAGATAGTCTCCAGGCGCTCAACAATACGGACGTACAGACATGGATATCGACTCTCCGATTGATGCTGATCAAGAATATATATACTTAATGGGGTCGGAAACGTTTCCTGCCCTGAGTTAATTAAATCCACGTTTCCCCACAAACAGATACATATATATATGAAAACCTATTTTCGAATTGACTTCAGGAAGACGTTTGAATCTGAGTGTACCATGTATAAAAGCATTGTCGAGTTTGATCGTTCACAACGTTTTTCCTCATTTTTGAGTTCAATTGTAATATTTCTTACTATTCCCGAGCCGTTCAATCAAACACAATGTACCTATTTACTCTTCGAGTATCGGGTATAATAAGTGAATTTTAATTAATCAAAAGCCTTTATTAACGGCCTTGGCTTAGAAGTACTGCATTATATCTTTACCCGGTAATCGACTTGTTGCTGAAACCGGAGAAAATGACTTTAGTTGAAAATAAAATGTTTGTGAGAATCGAAAACAATACTAGCGTTTGACAGCCCAGGAAAATCCTACTTCCTTATACAACAATACTTAATTAGCGACTTTCCAAGCTTCGGTCGCTTGTATTGATATAAAAAGTTGATTAAAATCAAGCTCAAATCTGACTCAATTGTGTTTTTAAATTTGGGCTTAAAAGGCTCAGTACTTTTCGAATGTACATATATATGTTGGAGAAACAACCACAACAATTTTATAAATGATTGAAAAATGAATTTTCTGAAGTTCAGCTCTTTTGCCCTTAGTTTAGCGCTTCTCCCTTAGTCTATGTGAGAAATACGCCACTTTAATAATCCAACGTTGCGCACTAGGTGGTCCTCTATGCAAAACATTTCTCTGCACTTCACTATCTCATCTAGTTGTTGAAGGTGCAGTGGTGTGGATTAAATGAGACCCGCCGAAGGGCCGACAAGAGCTGGGCAGCTGTTGCAGGAAGCGAGTCTGTGGCAATACAGCGCTAGAGAGCCTGATTCTTGCTATATATGTCCTTGCAATTCAACACACTCACCAATTGTAAGAAGTTCTAGGCAAAAGCATAAAAGCGAACGTGCCGCCAAACTCATTTAAAGGATTACATTCAGAACACCGCTAGGTGTGGATGAAAATGTGCACAATAAACAAGATTAAATTCAGTGGAAAGCATTGCGACAAGGAGCAAAAAAAAGTAAGCATGGTAAGCACTTTGTACATACACCCTTGAATTATACCAAAATGTATCAGTTTGAATAATATTCTTTGATAATGACGCATAGAATAAAACATTTTCGACCGAAAATATTTGTCGTTTTTAAGCATGATATGAATTATCGAATTGACTTCAGGAAAACGTTTGAATCTGGGTGTACCATGTATGCAAGCAGCGACGAGTTTCAATGCGTCTCACAGCGTTTATCCTCGTTTTTGAGTTGCTTTGTATTACTTCTTACTATTCCCGAGCCGTTCAATCAACGGTTATCCAATATTTAAATAATACCATCTTTAATTTATTCAACTGGTGACCAGCTGGACGCTGTTACTTTCCGTGAAAATTATCTAATCGCCATTTTTACCATTTTAATAAAACAAATCAACTACAAGATGAGAAAAATTGTTTGAAGTTAATATTAACGAGAAGGGACGTGTGAGACGCTTATTACGCGTCACAACTTTTATACCCGGCACTCAGTACTACATCTGCACCTTAGCGGTGTTTTGTCAAATTTTAAATTTTTTCTTCATCTGTCATCTACATCTACAACACTTCTCAAACCAACACGCTCCGCTAGCTCGCGCCCTTCCCTAGACCCACACACTGCAGACTCGAGGCAGAGGCAGCAGCACCGTTCGCACACAAAAAAAAACAAATAAAAGCTGTGGGACGGGGTGGGTTGAAAGTCGGCAGAGGCAGAGGGTCGGCAGAGGGACGGCAGGGGGAGGGCAGAGGCAGAGGCCGCGTGAATGAGAGAATGTGAAAATAACAAAAAAAGCTGCGGGACAGGGTGGGTTTATCCACTGCAAATTAATTTCTCCATTCTGGCTATAATATTGATACAATCGGATCCCAATTAGGTGATCTGATAGATATGACCATTCCCTACGGAATGGCGTTTTTAGTCTTCTTTTGCCTTCAAAAGTGTAGGTTTTGGAGGTTTTTGCCCTTTTGCGGGGGCGGAAGGGGGCGGGGCTCATTTTTGAAATACACTGTTTTCAGTGTGAGCATACAGCAGTCTGGAGCCAAAATTTGGTGGCTCAAGGTCTTATAGTCTCTGGAAACTAGCCGACAAACAAGACGGACGGACGGACAGACGACATGGCTCAATCGACTCGGCTATTGATGCTGATCAAGAATATATATACTTTATGGGGTCGGAAAAGTTTCCTTCTGTGCGTTACATACAACCGTTATTCACACAAATACAATATACCCTATTTACTCTTCGAGTACCGGGTATAAAAAGTAAGCAAGTGATTCGCACTGCAATTATCGAAAAAGATGTGTGTGTTTGCCTTGGGCAGCTATTTCGTCAGCAATAACCGTAAATTATAATTTTATATTAAAATTATTAATTAAAAGCCTTAGTCAAAACCACATTAAACCCACCTCTCTGGTCTTCTTAGAAGATCTGGGGCTTATCATAAGAATTTATATGCAAATAACATAATTATCAACTGTTCACCCTCTTAGGAGGAAACTTGTCCTGTAAACGCCGTTGATTCCTAATTTTTGCCTTTATCGCCTTTTGAGACCTTGCCGTTTGTCTGTTCTTCTCAGCCTTTGGGAGTTGTGCTTTTTGCGTGGCATGCCATCTCATCTTAATTTTTGCTTGCTCAGCAGAGACCGAGCAGAATCGGTCAAATTTATTTGGCCACGAACTAGGTACTAGCCATTTTCGCTATTGTTGATGCTTGTGGTCTTAAGCAGTGAAATTATATTTTATGTTTTTAGGTTTGTATCGGAACATCTGTCAACTACTTCTGCAACTTGTAACCGCCATAGTCGTTATTGAGTTAATATTCTGTATATGATATAAGTTTCCACACTTTATAAGGTAAGTCTAACTGTAACATTTTGATTTTTTATGTATTATTCGAGTGGACACATAACTTAATCAATAAAAACTGTTTCTGATCCGCTTAGACATATAAACATCAATTTAATGTGTAGTTGTGTACTCAGAAACACAATTACCAAAGACTATTTTATATGTACTGTTTAGTATATGTTATGTCTAAGCGGATCAGAAACAATTTTTATACCTGGTACTCGAAGAGTAAATAGGGTATATTGTATTTGTGCACAAAGTGGATGTATGTAACGCAGAGAAGGAAACGTTTCCGACCCCACAAAGTATATATATTCTTGATCAGCATCAATAGCCGAGTCGATACAGCCATGTCTGTCTGTCCGTCCGTCTGTCCGTCCGTCCGTCCGTATGTCCGTCTGTCCGTCCGTCTTGTTGAGTGCCTGGATCTCAGAGACTAAAAAAGCTAGAGCCACAAAATTTTGCATCCAGACTATTGTATGCTCACACTGTTACAAGTGTATTTCAAAAACGAGGCCCGCCCCGCAAAAGAGCGAAAAGCTCCCAAAGCTACAATTTTGAAGATAAAAGAAAGCTAAAAACGCCATTCCGTAGGGAATAACCATGTCTATTACCAAATTGGGATCCAATTGGATCAGTATTATATCCAGGAACCGGTCGCGAGCATGCAGAAAAGATAGATGTTAGGCTAGGTTAGGATAGGTTAGGTTCAGGCGGTCATCGGGACTTCACAGTCCCGACACACCTAGGCCGGTTTCGGCCCGTTGTGATTCCGATTGGAATGTTAGGCTGTTAGGCTAATATTCGAGGAAAATTAGAGCTAAACACAACTAAACTAGAGAAACTATAGCTAAGCAAGCAAAATTACCAACATCAGAAACAAGACAACCCTAAAATGAAACTAACTACGGGAGAGGTAGACTAGTATAAGAGATTTAGGAAGAGGAAGGGTGAAGTTAGAAGTTAGTGATAGAGGGAATTATAAATCCATAAATCCCTAAAGGGTTCGTGTAAGGCATAATTCGATCTATATAGTGCAAGGAACAAAGGAATAAAGTTTCTAGTGGGTCTAATGGGAATCGTTTATGCGTCTTAACAAGTCAGGGCTGTCTACATCCCCCTTGATCAAGTTGTGAATAAAAATTACACCAAGCATTCTTCTACGACTAACTAAGGATGGAAGGTTTATTAGAAGTAGTCTACTACGGTACGATGACAGTCTTACAGTTGCATCCCAGTTGAGGACACTCAGGGCAAAAAATAACGAGAGGGGACGTGTGAGACGCTTCTTACGCGTCACAACTTTTATACCCGGCACTCAGTACTACATCTGTACCTTAGCGGTTTTTTGTCAAATTTTTAATTATACCCGGTACTCGAAGAGTAAATAGGGTATATTGTATTTGTGTGAATACCGGTTGTATGTAACGCACAGAAGGAAACATTTCCGACCCCATGGAGTATATATATTCTTGATCAGCATCAATAGCCAAGTCGATAGAGCAATGTCTGTCTGTCCGTCCGTCCGTCCGTCTTGTTTGTCGGCTAGTTCTCAGAGACTATACCACCTAGAGCCACCAAATTTTGGCTCCGGACTGCTGTATGCTCACACTGACACCAATGCATTTCAAAAATTAGCCCCGCCACCTTCCGCCTCCGCAAAACGTCGAAAACCTCCCAAACCTGCGGTTTTGAAGATAAAAGATAAAAGAAAATTAAAAACGCCATTCCGTAGGGAATGACCACATATATTAGATAACCAAATTGGGATCCGATTGTATCAATATTATAGCCAGAATAAAGAAATTAATTTGCAGTGGCTAAACCCACCCTGTCCCGCAGCTCTTGTTGTTCTTTTCACGAAGCATAGGGACGGCAGAGGCAGAGGCCGCGTGAAGCAGAAGCAGAGTGTGAATGAGAAAATGTAAAAAGAACAACAAAAGCTGCGGACAGGGTGGGTTTAGCCACTGGAAATTAATTTCTCCATTGTGGCTATAATAATGATCCAATCGGATCCCAATTTGGTTATCTGATAGGACTCTGAGAACCAGCCGACAAACAAGACGGACAGACGAACAGACAGACATGGCTCTATCGACTCGTCTATTGATACTGATCAAGAATATATATACTTTATGGGGTCGGAAACGTTTCCTTCTGTGCGTTACATACAACCGTTATTCCCCACAAATACAATATACCCTATTTACTCTATGAGTACCGGGTATAGCAAATTGTGCCACTACCAACGTGAATACTCCTATGTTATAGACAACAGCACATTTGAGTGCGATGTCTGGAAGGCAAGTTAGAAATTTCTAACTTCTAACGCTATTTTTATAATCAGAATGTATAATCATGTATAAAAAGTCCTTACATGGTTTATTTACTTATACCGCGTTCTCTAGATTTAACATTTTCGTTATCTGTAAATTGTATTTATTCGTTAAATCTTACGCCTTCCATATTTTATATTTTTTTAATTTATCAACTAATTGATTTATCCCGATCCAACATATGTTGGTCTTCACTGTAGCAACTTGAACATACGGCAAATGTTTACAATCGGAAATTACTTTCTCACATCTTCCTAGGAGATCACCTATTGTATATACAATATATTTGATTCAATAAAAGTGATTTAGGTTCATTTTTGGCAATTATGCCAAAATATGTATTCTAAGATAAGAAATGCACTCTATTTAGCTAAGGTAAAAGAGAAAATACAATTTTTAAGCTCGGATTGAGAGAAATCTAATCAACAACATTTTTATGATTTCCTCGGGTTATCCTTAAAAAATCGTTTCGTCTTCCTTCTAAGGGAGCGAATTAAAAAAAAAAAAAAAAATACATTCATAAAAGCCCATTCTGCGACATCAAATAGTCAGAAGACGCATCTGTTTTCCGTCTAAAGTGCAAACTAAAGTAAAGTAACATTATATTATATGCCACTAAGTCACACTTCTTCCATGAACCAACCCCGATATACTACGCACATACAAAGTTATACCACACACAAATAAACAAACACGGCTGACATGTTAACATGTTAAAGAGCATGTATGTACATATGTAAGTATGTATGTAAGTGAAGTGTGAAAGAAGGTCGGATAAACGAGAAAGATGGTCGAGGAAGAAGAGTCTTCTTTAGATGAAGTCTATTTTCTTTGCCTTCCCTATATGGCATGATTAATGGTTTACTTTGAGCTAGTTAGTAAAACAGTTTGAAGTTTTTATGTACGGGTATGTACATACTTTTGCAAAACGGGGCTGACAGTTTTTTCAAAGGCTTTTTATGATTCAGTCAATTCGATTCGACCTTTATCGGAACCTCTCGTTACGAATTTAAGTCGTGTTGGCTTACTGTTGTTCTTTAAATATATGAAGTGTTTGTGAAAACTATACCGAGTGATCCGGGCCTTGGTTAAGGATGGGTTCTTTTCTTCAATCAATCAAATTAGATAGGACACGTCATGTAATGTATTGGAAATGTTCATGGAGATTCAAATGGGAATATGCATTTAGTACCTGACTCAAAAATCACGTTTACTATTTAAATTATGTACGGTCTCTATAATAATACCACACACACTCTCTTAAACATACAATTTAGAGCAAGTTAAACTTATGTTTAATCACAAAATAAGTCAAAAGTTAATTGACGATATGTGACTCTACCAGGGTTCTACTCAAAGTGCACTGTACTTCTTCGCAGGAGTTTACGCAGAGGCCTTACGAGGCTCGGAAAGTTATCAATGCCTTATCATTATAGGGCATCTATTGCACTTTCCTAAAGCAATTACAAGTTTGCCGAAACTAGTTGCTTGAAAACTACGTATTTTTTCCTGATGTTTTATAAAATACCTATCGGAGGTGGAACACACATTCTTCATAATTCGACCTTTGAAAAATAAGGGCCTTCATTTGCAGCAGGTGCAGAAATCGAAGAGATTGTAAGAGATTGTAATCTTTTAAAGATAAAAGAGAGTTTAATTATACTCTTTTTAAGATAAAAGAGAGTGCAAGTATACTCTTTTAAAGATAAAAGAGAGTTAACTATTCTCTTTGAAAGAGACATTTTGCGATTGCGCATTAAATGTTTTGACCAACTCAAAGGGAATTTTCTATGAGATTGATAAATTATTAAAAAACTGCCCTATAACTTTAAATAAAAGCATTATTTTGAAAGCGTTGTATTCAAGATGTGACTAGTTGAACCGAAGATTTGAGCGATTGAGCTAGTAAAATCGAATATTCAGAGGATAATGGGAATTTTTATTAAATTGTTTCGCTTAGCACTAGTAGTGGATAATTGTAAATCATTAAAAAAACGAATCTAACAGCAGATTTCCCAGTACACAGGCATCTGTTTATTAATTTATCATAGACCTACCCAATTATACCATGCTTTCAAAACCTAAAATGAGCTCTCTCGCTCGATTCTGTATCGAGAGTGCTGGCTATTGCTCTCTCGCATTTCAGAGAGAATGTAGCCGAGAGAGACTTCACCCTCAAAACATGAATCTCCCTCAAAACCAGAAAACTAGAAAAAATGTGGATGAAAACACTTTTGAGTGTTGATTTTTGTTCAATCGTTCTCGGGCCGAGGAAAAGGAAAGAACAGAATTCTGAGTTCAGAAAATTTCGTTGATTTCCCACAAAATGTTTACGAGCGGTTATTTCGCATCAAAGAAAAAATTGTTAAACTGCATTTAAACTAATGCCCGCCACTTATAAGTTTATTATTAGACAACGAACCACATTCGCGTGCGAAAGCCCAGAACTTTGAAATATCGATGACAAAACATATATAGTCAAACGATTTGTTTACGTGCGGTGTGGTGTGTGAACTGTGTAAGTGTGCCTGACCCAAAACCAAAGCGAAACTTCTCCAACACCCAATACAGAAACCAAAATGAAAAATACAACGGATTACCCTAGATTAGACCCAACCACAGCGGAAGGAGCCAGCGAAGAGCTGTACGCGAGGTTTATCTCCGCCCCGACGAGCAGCATGAGTACCGAAGCTATTGCTGAGCACATGCAACAGAATCAAATCACCTTCGAGATACCCAGCGCCCTCGATATGCGGCACATCGACACACTTAACTCGTTCAACGCCTTGCTCCAGCGGATCGGCAATGCCGCCGTCTCGAACAACGCCGCACCACCCTTTGGATGGACGCATAAAGGCATCATCAGCACCGAACAGCTCTCCAAGTCGGTGGTGCTGGACTTGGCCGATCTTCGGGACCGGGGCGAGGATAGCGGCGATCCGGCGGGTTGGTGGAATCACATCTTCAACGACGCCGATATGCTCGTGCTAATCAACTATCTGTGGATCGGAGTAATCATCTCCCTGGTGGTGCTATCCCTTGTCTTCATCCTATTCAGCTGCTACTTCTATCGAAAGTTCCGCACATGGAAGAAATGCAGTAAGTTCAGAAGCTATACCACATATACATATTCCAGTGTCCCATCAGCCTCCCTTTCCACGCCGCCATGGTCTTTACTCAAAAAGTTTCACAAAACGTTAGCTTATGACAATTATTCAGCGCGCTGAACAAAATAAAATGCAGGGAATGGTCCTAGTCACAGGACCAACCAGATGGACTCCGGGTTCTGTTATAATTTTAGATACACACATTTATTATTCCACAAAATTGGTGTGGCGCATATTTACAACGGGAGCAAACCACCAATAAAATTGTATGCCTAAGAGGGGTATTTGTCTTGTCATATGCCTATAAAAGAGGAATAATGAGCGTTGAGCAATAATGAGCAATATTTTATTGAAAGGAAGAGGGAACCTCAGTTCTTTATCAAAAAAGGGAATACTAACACATAAAGCATAGTGATTATTTCGGTGTAGTTAGAGGTGCGACTCGAAGTAGGAATAAAACAAAAAATAAAAAACATGTGTGGTAAAAAAAAACAAAATAACATATTTTATCTTTTGAGTAAGACTTTCCTGAATGTGTCACACTAATACTATACTAATACCAATATCAATCAACTAAGGCCACTAAAGCTAGATTACCACACGTTTATAAGAGTGTACATAAGTACAAATGTACATATCTTACCTACTCGCAAACATGCGAGTCATATGCTTAGGCACTTTACACATCCTTACTTAGACATACCCGTACCTACCTACCAAACAACATCAATATCTACCAAGCAACAGAACCAAACCCCAGCCGAAATAGAACGCAACAGGCGAAAGAGAAACCTTGAAAACCTACTCAACTAATAAGTTTCCAACTGAAGTGTCAAACTTTTTGCAGACTAATTTAGCCAAATGATTTATTTATGCCAGGAAAAAAGAGAAGATTTATCTTTTTTAATTATATTTCTGGCCTGGTTCCGCCTCTTGGCGGAAAGTTTGGTCATGTATTGGTCATGTCTCTTGGCATTAAAGCATGGCCAACTCACTGTCAAACTGTCAATTTTGTGCTAACGAGCCTTAAAAAGTTGTAGTTCCGAATACGACACGCGACTGAGCCGTAGGCGGAGGTGCGTTGGATGGGGATACGTAAAATATCAATTTGAGCGATAATTGTTTGCTAATTTGTTTCATTATTATTATTTTTTTATCTCTTCCATGAGGCACTGGGCACTAAAAACAACATCCATACATATTTAAATCTCTACAGTATATTCAGGTAGTACGTGTCATTTATAATTAAGCGACTGTTCGTAAGCTTGTCTCTTTTCTAACTTGTGTACGGTTAATGCCCTTATAAATAATTAACGAACCCTGAGCTTAAGAGTAGCTCTGGCCCAGTTACGAAGTTTCAGTCTTACACTTATTTATTAAACTGTTACACACTGACGAGGATCCAGGCATCCAGAATGTTAAAATGTAACAAGCATTTGTGGCACACACATAAATAGGACACATTTTCCGGTCATCCAGCATATCATTTCATCAGCTGCGATTTGATACGATGGATATCAATTCATGCAAAAATGTTTGGCCATCAAAAATTACAAGAACTGGATACTCTGCAAAATGCAAAAAACGAAGTTAAAACTAAAGCCAACTGACGTGCTTACTTGTTCATGATGCAAACACTGCAACATTTCGCCTCTTCTCTCACCATTCAGGTTTCTTTAGGTTTCTTTCTGGCCATCTGCAATGCTTAAAAGGGCACGAGACGCGCGGGATGGTGTATACACTTGCATAAAATATGAAGCCTGCAGAATTTGGATGTGTGTTCCACGCCTCTTGTCCAACCCTGAGTGTTCCCATACAGTTGGTTCATGGGGTTGGTCCGAAATCCAGTTCCGGAAAAAAACTCATGTACATATATATGTATGCTATACAGTTTCAAGAATTAATCAACAGCTGCTGCCACTGCTACTGTAACTGCTGACTGGTACTTCTCCAGTGCTGCCTTTTAATGTTGTAATTCGCAAATTTTTTTAGCAAGCTTAAACCTAGACAACCATAAAAGATAAAGTTTTATAACTTATACTTTATGGGGCGGAGACGTTTCCTTCTGTGTGTTACATAAATTCACTTTGTGCACAAATACAATATACCCTATTTACTCTCCGAGTACCAGGTATAAAGAGGCAGAAAAAAGCTATAGGACGATCACTCATTTATGTCTGTATGGAATTGAGCTTGCATTACTCGTATAATTCTGTGTATATGTGTAATAAAAAGCATGCCTTTTAATGTTGTAATTCGCAAATTTTTTTAGCAGGCTTAAACCTAGACAACCAAAAAAGATAAAGTTTTATAACTTATACTTTATGGGGCGGAGACGTTTCCTTCTGTGTGTTACATAAATTCACTTTGTGCACAAATACAATATACCCTATTTACTCTCCGAGTACCAGGTATAAAGAGGCAGAAAAAAGCTATAGGACGATCACTCATTTATGTCTGTATGTAATTGAGCTTGCATTACTCGTATAATTGTGTGTATATGTGTAATAAAAATCAAAGCTTCAAATGGAATTAAGCACTTACGATACATACATACATACCAAAAATAAATATGTGTGTATGTGTATGTACGTACGTAAATTCTAAAATTTAAATTAAAAAAATTATTTTTGTCTGAAAATGGCGAGTTTCCCAAACTTAATTTTATTTCGCTTAATTGTTAAATACAAACGACGCACACGCACTCATATGCAGCAGCCGTTTGGGCTTATAAAAATTAAATGATTTCTGTTGCATGCTTTCCTGGCCGAACGCCGAGCTTTTATTTTATTGCAGTCTTGTGTATTTTATTTAATTCCATTGTGCCACGCGCGCACTTCCGTCATAATATTGCGCAGTTTCCGTTGATGTTATTGTTTTTTCTGTGGCTGTCAGTCTGTTCTTATGGAACTTTGGCTGTCCTGGCATCCTCGCAGGCATTTCCGGTCAGCACAAATTTTTTTTTCTTTTTTCGTTTTTATACCCGGTACTCGAAGAGTAAATAGGGTATATTGTATTTGTACACAAAGTGAATTTATGTTTTTTCCGACCCCATAAAGTATATATATTCTTGATCAGCATCAATAGCCGAGTCGACTGAGCCATGTCTGTCTGTCCGTCCGTCTGTCCGTCCGTCTTGTTGAGCGCCTGGATCTCAGAGACCATAAAAGCTAGAGCCAGCAAATTTTGCATCCAGACTTCTGTATGCTCAAAAGAGCCACGCACCCTTCCGCCCCCGCAAAAGACCGAAAACCTCCCAAATTTTCGTAGGGAATGACCATATCTATCAGATCACCAAATTGGGATCCGATTGGATAATTATTATAGCAAGAATGAAGAAATTAATATGCAGTGGCTAACCCACCCCGCCCCGCAGCTTATATTTTTTTTCCACATTCTCTCATTCACACTCTGATTCTGCTGTGTGAGGCCACTTCCTTTGTTGTTGTAGATGTTGATGACAGATGAAGAAAAAATGTAAAATTTGACAAAACACCACTAAGGTGCAGATGTAGTACTGAGTGTCGGGTATAAAAGTTCTGACGCGTAAGAAGCGTGTCACACGTCCCTTCTCGTTTCTCATTACTTTCAACATGGATTTGATGATCAAGCGTATGCGCCTTTGCCCAAAATTTATAAACTTTGGCATGCATACACAGTGTAATAAGCCGCACCAGTGTCTGACCCGAAACTTTGAAACCTGATTAAGCCATAGAACCTTTTTAAGACCCAAACATAATCAACTTTACACCGACAAACTCAACTAACGAATACTATTTCTTATGCTCTGGCCATTGCAGATAAAGATATAAGTACACAGATCCATTCCGCCAACGATTCTTCCCACGGAGCAGGGTCTCACCTAGACAGCTGTGATGCTAGTCGCCTGCTCCTCCATCAGTCGCAACAGCCATCTGCTGCTAACAGCAATGAAGCTTCATTTTACGAAATCGAGTCCCCACCCTGCTATACAATTGCCACCGGGTTACCCAGCTATGATGAGGCTCTGCATCACCAGCCTCATCACTTTGCCTACGGCATGAAGTTTGTGTACCCCTGCCTGGCACCTGTGCATCATCATCATCACCATCATCCACGCACCACCTGCACACCCATTAGGGAGAAGACCAAACTGCAGCATCAGCAACTGAATAAGCTGCAAAAGTGCAAACTGTCAGCAGCAGCTGCCACGGAGGAGGACAAAACCTGCATCTCCATATCCGAGTCCGAAACGGCCATGCCTGCTGTTCGCATTAACATTCAGGATGAGGAGCAGTCTGAGCCGGAGCACAGGGATCTGGCTGTGGTGACAGCACAAAGTTTACTGCCAGCGGCTACTGCTGGCGATGAGTACGCCACATTGGTTGTTGTAGTTGCCTCGTGATTGCCCAGATAGTAGGCAGAGGAAGAGTACCGATTCGAGTCAGCGACTCGAGTCGTGGAGGGATCAGGAATAGCAGCAAATTGCTTAGTCACTTGTAAATACATGCGTCGTCTGATGCTAAAGATGTTTCTAACGTAGAGACATATAGCCTTATAAAATAATTATTAACCAAAATTCAATGTTTGCTATCTATACTCGTATAGACCCTCTCACAACATTGCCCCCTCAAAAGTATTTGTTATATTATTGTATTATGCAAGACTGAGTATTATTTAATTTATATATTACTGTATATTGTATTGAACCTAGTTGTATGACCATTAAACTTGACTGTGAAGAGAGAAAATATACAACACTTAATCGTAAAAACTTCGTGCTAACAATATTATAATTTTCTTTTAATTTCTTTGGGAGCTATTCAGCTCTGAAGTTGCCAGTCTACAACTTTTCAAACATCGTTGATCTGAAAATTGCATTGTAACCATGACTAGCCTCGATTTTTAGAAATTCATGTTTTACTTGGTCTGAGCAATTTTCCGATGACATTCGGGTACTTATGGACGGACGGGATAAGGTAAGAAGGAATGAAGTGAATCTGGGTGGAGTGCTGGTGGAGAAACGAGCAATGATGAATGGTTTGTCCTCTTAATGGAAATCATCCATTCATATTAAACGAGGAGGCGCATTCAAACGCGCCACTACTTTTATACCCGGTACTCAGTCAGTACGGTACTCAGTCAGTCGACAACGAGAAAGCATATGCTGAGTTGAGGCCATTTGCAACTGAATGCGACCAAGAATATTTATTGTGGTATATCGACCGCAAATCTAAAATACCCCTTTAACTCGAATATACCCCTTCGAGTACCGGGTATAATAATTATACTCATTACATAGAGTAAAGTCAAATGCTAACTGAAAAGTAGACACAACGAGAAGGGACGTGTGAGACGCTTCTTACGAGTCCCAACATTTATACCCGGCACTCAGTACTACATCTGCACCTTAGCGGTGTTTTGTCAAATTTTAAATCTTTTCTTCATCTGTCATCTACATCTACAACACTTATCATGCCAACACGCTCCGTTAGCTCGCCGCCCTTTCCTAGACCCACACAGAGGTAGCGCCCGCACACAAAAAAAACAAATATAAGCTGCGGGACGGGGTGGGTTAAAAGTCGGCAGAGGCAAAGGCAGGGGAACAGAAGTAGAGTGTGAATGAGAGAATGTGAAAAGAACAACAGAAGCTGAGGGACTGGGTGGGTTAAGCCACTGCAAATTAATTTCTTCATTCTGGCTATAATAATTATCCAATCGGATCCCAATTTGGTGATATGATAAATATGGTCATTCCCTACGAAAATTTGGGAGGTTTTCGGTCTTTTGCGGGGGCGGAAGGGGGCGTGGCTCTTTTTTTAAATACACTAGTAAGAGTGTGAGCATACAGAAGTCTGGATGCAAAATTTGCTGGCTCTAGCTTTTATGGTCTCTGAGATCCAGGCGCTCAACAAGACGGACGGACAGACGGACGGACAGACAGACATGGCTCAATCGACTCGGCTATTGATGCTGATCAAGAATATATATACTTTATGGGGTCGGAAACGTTTCCTTCTGTGTTACATACATTTACTTTGTGCACAAATACAATATACCCTATTTACTCTTCGAGTACCGGGTATAAAAATGATACCAGACAATTACATGCGTATGCAAATGGAACAAGAAATATACACAAACAAATCACTTTATTTACGATTTCTGGGTAGCTTTGCATTATATTGGCACATCCTAGACGCATGCAAACAAAAAGAACAACGGCAACCAAAAACACCAATAAGGAAATCGATGTTTTCCTGTGGGCATTGAGAAATGTGTATAGAATTTAAGCATGCTTTTGCATCTCTAAATATTGGAAGTGTATATATTAGTATATAAGTGTATTGCGGATATCAGACAGCTGCACTATGATAGGTTAGGTTACAGCGGCCGTCACGCTCTACATGAGCCTGACCCACGTAGTCCGGCGTCCTACCTCCTACGGCCTACATCCTTCGGTGTACCGTAGAAGCATCGTCCCTATTTCCTATTTCCTATCTTATCCTGATGCAAATATGAAGTTTGCTATCTTTCTGGGACAGATTGTGAACCGAGCAGCAGCAAACAGTTGTTCCACTGTTTGCTCCTCTTGCTCGTCTTAACAGCTGCGGCTGAAATCATTGTACGGGGCACCCAGCCTGTTCGCATGGGCGCCTATTCTATGGTCGGGTCATACGTCTTAAAGACATTCATTTGAGGATGGGAACAATGTATTGGGAGGAGATATTTTATAAATTGCTTTTAACAAAAAATTGAAATTTTAAAATAATTCTTTTCAATTGACACAATGTTCAATCAACCTTTTTCATCCGCTTATAGTGACTTAAGAGGGCATCATAGGTAGAACTTTCCTTATCGACTTCGATGTCAACCTTTAAGTGCGTACCATAACTTGTCTTCTTTCCCTTTCGTAAGAATTATCTCTTTACTTCCAAATGAACAGTCAGTTAATAGATCTCTTTTGGATTTAGATGTCCCATTTCCGGATCCCTTCTTTTAATTATTCAATTAATCACCGTGCTTTTTTATTTTTATTAGTTACTTTTTAAGGTTGGAAGAATTAAAATATGGGAATGTATACATATGTCTGACACTGACCCACACTATCTTTTAATGGTTCTGTGCGCCTTTTCTTTTCTTCACTGGTGTCACTATAACATGATTAATGATCATGATTGGATAGACCAGCAGGAGCTTTAAGTGCATCTTCGACATTACTTCCGCCTCTAAGTTTACTGCGAAAATGCCGCTCATCACAATCATCATCGGAATCATCACTCTTTGGTACATTTTGATAGCCACCCCGACCATAACTTGTTTGCTTCAGGTACGTGTCTTTATTTTGTACATTTTTGTTTCTTAAAGAAGAGGTATCCTGTGGAGTAGGGGTTTTTTTATGCTTTCGGATAATGTCCCCCACCCGAAACATTCGAGAGTCTTTCGACTCTACCCCAATTTTTCCCCGCATGTCCACACTCAATCGAGCTTCTTTTTGAATCTCTACCTAAATCCATATTTATATTTCCTCCTCCTTTGTTGTTCGAGTTCATGTATCTTCCTCTATGTGTTGGCTGGACAGTTACACCCTCCAATTGCTCCGACCGATTTTCTCGATTTCGATGCCAAGCGGTGTAGTCACCCCTACCTCTGGCACTGCCGGAACCTTTTTTTCGAGACTTGTCATTTTCTCTATCTTGATATTCCCAACTTTGATCAGTATAATCTTTATTTGAGTGATCTTTATTATCGTGTCTATATTGATAAGTCTTATAAGCTACGAAATATCATTCAATAGGAGTTTTTCTTAAGAGATATTTTAAAACTTACCTTTATCATAAAAGTGGTCGTCATCATTGTGAACATTTAAGTTGAAGGGTCTTACTGAAATTTCAGAAATTGGAACAATTAAGCTGCTGGCTATGTATTTATCTGTGGTGATGGGCCTATAGTGGATTTGATTATAGAATGTCAACCAGTAAATTATGAGAAAGTCATGGAACAGTATCAAAGATCCAAGAATAAAATCATTTAAACGCATTTCGGCAAAACGGTTTCCATGAATAGTCTGAGCATGGTACATAACAAACTAGCAGACTCTTATTTAGTAAAGAACAGGAGCTACAGGTGATCAACTTACAACTAGTATTGTGATGGTAATGGACAACTCCACAATCAAGAAGCTATATGGGAGTGTTCTCCATATTATCAGCAGGAACATTAGGAAGAAGACTGCGACAATCAGAAATATGAATGCAAATATAAACAAAACTGCTATATCCAGAGTGAGATCCATCTATTGTGATTGGTATCAGCTTAGAAAAAAGTGATCAAGTATACCCCTCTAGACCTCTTACTTTCTTAGGAAGAATTGCTCCTATAACTAGGAATAACCCAATCAGAAGAACGCACAGAAAAAAGAAGGACAGCATTTCCGCCCACCAACTGCGAGTGATCAAAGTAAACAAGGAGACGATCTGAAGCTCCACCTGAGATGGAAGGAAAGAGGGAGCCCTGCCATTAAATATCACAACCACTTACGATTAAAAATGCCATAAAGAAGTTCAAGCACATCGTAAAACGAAGCTTCTCAACGAAAATAAACATCATAAAAGCGCTAACGGACAGGGCAAAAGTCGCAAAGCTGATGTAATTAAGGTCCTGGAATATCCAGCGCAACTCTTTTCTGTGGAAAATAGTATGAAATCGATAGAGATCATGATTTGCTCTTACAAAAGGCAAAAAACTGTCCACTGGATAAGGGCCAAAGAAAACCAGACGCATAGCAGAATATATGTCTTCAAAGCAAACTTCCGTCGAGACTTCCGATAGCTGCGCAGATCGCTCGAGGCATACATAGCTATTTATCCCTGCGGCAGAAGTTGTTTCAGTCTGGGCCTGCGTATGTTTGTCTAAGCACGTCTGCGAATTTGTTCAAATGTACATAAATTAATGTTAAGCGAACAAATGAAAACAATTGAAACGAAAATGGAGTTATTATGAAATATTATAAATACATAGTCAAAGCCAACATGATACTGACGAATAATTAAGGTCAAAGGAACTTTAAATTTAATTGATATTTTTCCCTAATACCATTGATTCACAGGTTCAATGAAAATATTGTAAATGAACAATTAATTATATGAAAATGTATCGCCATCCTCTTCATAGCTACATTCAATGCACGTGACTCTTAGGAGAGTTTTCGATACTATTTGTGATCGCATTTACGGTCTCTCGATGAGTACCAATATCATCGCCGACTGTTCATTGCCAGGCTTCAGCATCGCCTACGCCTACGCTTACTTTCAGATGAGCCATTAGAATCGCAGGATTATTATCAGCTATAATGAGTTCCGTTATAGAAAACATACATACCTTCATACATATATTAACTTTCATCTCCGAAATCAGCAAAGTTCAGACGAACCGATTATTTTTTTCTACTCTCCGTGACCCAAGAGTTTTCTTCGGGAGTAAGTATGCATAGTTGATTTAACAATAAAAAGTCAACGAGTAGACAATTAGAAACTCTTGAAACACTATCAATGAGCATAGCGATCGCCCTTGATGGTCTGAGCATGAAGCATAACAAGTCAAAAATTATTTGGTTAGTATAAGGAAATCAACTAGACTGGGAGGATAACTCACGGAGAACACAAGTATAGAAAGGCTTATTTCAAAAAGTAGAAAGGCATATGGCAGCACTGTCGTTAAATGGAGATGCAATATTAAGAAATACACAGATACAAACAATATAATGAAGGTCAGTGTGAAAAAGTAGGACACGTGCGCGGTCAGATCCATCTGTAAGGGAATGACAGTCAATTGTAGTATCGGAGTTACTATATACATACATACATACCTGCTTAAGGAAAATGGTAGGTTACAGCCAATAATAAGGTAACGCATGAAGAAGCTCAAACAGTCACGGGCTAACAGAACTTAAATCGAATATGCAGACCCACCTATTGGTGAGTTGAGTTGGTTATGGTTGAGCGTATACCACTGCGACTTTACTTGTTCGACCAACTCACGATGACAAAGGCCACAATATGGTTGAAAATTGTAATGTGCCGCACTTGCGCGACCAGCACAAAACGAACGAGTAGGGATGTGTGAGACGCTTCTTACGCGTCACAACTTTTATACCCGACACTCAGTACAACATCTGCACCTTAGCGGTTATTTGTCAAATTTTAAATATTTTCTTCATCTGTCATCTACATCAGCAACACTACTCACACCAACACGCTCCTTTAGCTCGCCGCCCTTCCCTAGACCCACACACTGAAGAGTCAGAGGCAGAGATGTGTCTGCGCGAAGCAGAGTGTGAATGAGAGAATATGCAAACAACAAATATAAGCTGCGGGACGGGGTGGGTTTAGCCACTGGATATTAATTTCTCCATTGTGGCTATAATAATGATCCAATCAGATCACAAAAGTGATCTGTTAGATATGGTCATTCCCTACAGAATGGCGTTGTTAGCTTTCTTTTATCTTCAAAATTGTGTCTGTGGGAGATTTTCGCGCTTTGCGGGGGCGGAAGGGGGCGGGAAACATTTTTAAAATACACTTGTAGCAGTGTGAGCATACAGAAGCCTGGATGCAAAACAAGGTTGCCCTATTTCTTATGGTCTCTGAGTACTAGGCGGTCATAAGGACGGACAGACGGACGGTGGGGCGGATGGACGGACAGACAGACATGGCTCAATCCACTCGGCTAATGATGCTGATCAAGAATATATATATACTCTATGAGGTCGGAAACGTTTCCTTCTGTGCGTTACATACATCCCGTATTCCTCTCAAATACAATATACCCTTTACTCTTCGAATACCGGGTATAAAAATTTGCCTGAACAAGGCTTTCCTGATCAAGACTTTCCTGATCACAGTTTCGCCAATGTAATAAAAATTTGCAGAAAAAAATATATGTTGACTCATATTATATATAAAGTGGCTTCGATTTGATTAACAAGCAAGTTTTTACACTCAGCGCCATTTTTAACGATCCTTGCTAAGAGTGCTCAACTCAATGAAGTTGTCCGTTTCGGCCAAATCCCCTTTTTTTAAAGAAAAGTATTCGGTAAAGCTAAGAGACTTGTTCATTTACAAACAGATTAACGAACATCGCTAAATCGACTACGGTGTGATATCGGCTTTGTTGGGTAAACCTTCGAAGCAGGGTGACAGGTGACAGAGAAAAAATAGACTCGAAACATGTTTAAATACACAAATATCAGTATAAACTCAGTATAGTCGTGAACACTTGGTGCGTGTGAGCAACAAAGATCATGACTGCGCCATTCACAATCAGATACTAAGATGAGCGTGTCTCCAACTCATTTCGAGACCATTTGCTCTTCCAAATTGTGGCCAGAGCACCTGGTTGTGAAAGAGTTTAAGGCTAAGAGAAAAATAGGCCCCCCATAACTCTTCCTAGGAGTGAGACCAGTGGTCCTTCCTCCTCTGCTCCATCCACCTCTTCCCACAGCAATTCCTTGCAGTCAAAAAACTAACATCCCTCTTTGTAGCCTATCAAAATGCTCGCGGCTTACGTAGTAAACTGAGCACTCTTTTTATGGATAGTTTCACATTTTCATCCCATGTTATTGTGTTTACCGAAACCTGGTTAAAGCCGGACATTCTTAGTTCCGAAGTTTTGGCAGATCGGTACACAATTTATAGGAATGATCGTTCGTCTCGACGTGGAGGAGTGGTTATGTTTGCAGTAAACTCTTACTTTACGTCGGAACTTTTCATAGTCCAGGTCTCACAAGACCTGGAATTCGTCTTTGTTAGACTGATTCTTCCCGGCCAGTCTATTTATGTCACTTGCTCGTATATTCCACCGACTTCGGAAGTATTAATATACGAGCAGCACTTGGCCGCCTTAAAAACTGTTTCTTCCTTGCTATCTGATAAAGACCATTTAATAGTTCTTGGGGATTTCAACCTGCCAGGTACTGTCTGGTCTTCGGTTAACGAGTCAAACAACCTTGTGCCCATGTCACGACATGAGTTTATTGATGGCTTATTAGACCTGTCCCTGTCTCAAGTCAACCATGTAAGAAACTCCTCGATTGTTCGATTGCTTGATCTGTGCTTTGTCTCGGATCTGACCGTAGCGTTGTTAACACGAGCACTCCCGCTCACTATACCTGAAGACTGCTATCATCCTACTTTCGAAGTTTCGGTAGATATTGGACCACTGTATCGGATCGTGCGGGTAGGCTATCTGAACGCTTCCGCTGCTTTCGTAAAGCCGAGTTTTCGAAGCTCAATAACAGAATTAGACATTTTGATTGTGCACTGAGGAACAAACACTTTTTAAAATGTAGTTGACACAATTTTTGACAAGTGTGTCCCACTTTCATGTCCGACTAGATCTGCGAAACCTCATTGGTTCACCAAAGAGCTATCCAGTCTAAAGAACCTAAAATCAAGACTATTTAAAAAATCTCAAGGAGTTGGATCTCCCTCTTCTCTTTTTAATTACTTAATAGCTCGGTCAAATTTCACTGTTCTTAATGCTCAATGCTATAGGAACTACCTCCTTCGATGCAGGATACGTTTTTCACAGGACCCTAAACAGTTTACAGCTTTGTAAACAGTAAGCGTAGAACGTCCGCACATCCATCCTCGCTATCATTTCTGAATATGTCGGCAAACAATGATCAGGCAATTGCCGATCATTTTGCACAATTTTTTCAAGCCACCTATTCCCAGGAAAGCTACCCAGGTCATATGTATCCATATAGTTTACCAAGGTCGAATGGCGTTTTCTGCCCTTTGTTTAATGAAGGCTCCTTACTTCATGAACCTCAATTAGTTAAGCCGGTATTTTCACCGGGCCCTGACGGAGTTCCCGGCTGTGTACTCAGGTACTGGGCCGAGTCTCTGTACGGACCTTTGCTTAAACTATTCACTCAATCCATCCATTCTTCTAGCTTACCCCCCATCTGGAATGAATCCTTTATAATTCCTCTCCATTAGAAAGGTAGCAAGTCTGACGCTAAGAACTATAGAGGTATATCTAAGTTATCCGCTATTCCTAAAATGTTCGAGAAACTTTTAACTCCGCACTTGCAGCATCTCTGCAAATCACTTATATTTCCAGCTCAGCACGGATTTATACGACGACGTTCAACAACCACTAATCTTTTAGAGTTAACCTTCTTTGTCATTAAAGGATTCCAAGGTAACTTGCAGACGGATGTTATTTACACTGACTTCATTAAGGCATTCGATTCTGTAAACCTTTCTCTTCTTGCACAAAAGCTCTACCTTCTAGGGTCTCCGCCCAATCTGTTTAGATGGATTTCTAGCTACCTGTGTTCTAGGTCTCAAAGGGTCCTTTTCAAAAACTCCTTATCTTTACCTGTTATGGTTACTTCCCGTGTACCACAGGGTACCCATTTAGGCCCCTTACTTTTCACACTCTTTATTAATGACCTGCCTTCTGTATTAACAAATTCTCGAGTACTTATGTATGCGGATGATGTTAAGCTCGGCGTCCAGTATAAGGCCATTTCATTTCACTATTCCTTGCAATCTGATCTCAGTAGCTTTCAGTCATGGTGTTGTGCAAATATGTTACAACTTAATGCCTCGAAGTGCAATGTAATGACTTTTTATCGCTTCAGCCCCTTCCTGGCTCCTTATACCCTCACCCCAGTTCTCTTGAGAGAATTACATTGGTTGATGATCTAGGTGTTAAGCTAGACCCCAAGTTAAAGTTTTCTGAGCACATTTCTACCATGGTAAATAAAGCCATGGGTGTGCTTGGGTTTATAAAGAGGTGGTCAAAGGAATTTGATGACCCCTCGCTTGTTCGTCCGATTTTAGAATACATCTGATGTGTATGGTGCCCTCAGTACAACATACATCAGGACCGTATTGTATTAGTACAGAACAACTTTTTATTATTTGCCCTACGGGGCCTCAACTGGGATGCAACTGT